ACAAGTCAACTATGTGTCCAGCCCCTGGCTGGGGACACGGGACACACTGTCCTGTCTTTATTCAAAACGTAAGTGTAGAGACAGGCGCATAAGAAGATGAATTTACAGAGAGAAAAGCTATTATAAGGGAATGTAGACAGCACCAAATAAATTCGTATCAGGGAGAGAATAATTCTGCCTGGGCAGCAAAAGTTAGAGACGGTGGGCTTTGTGAGTAGGACATTCGAAGACTGACAAGGAGTGACAAGGAATACAGCAAGTGTGTCTAGAGCACAGAGCAGGTATGACTGGAGATGAGGGGGCAAAGGCTGTCCAAGCCCGACTGGAACCTACTCCTCACTCCTTTCAGTGGGAAGCATCTATTGTAGCCACACTCCCTTCTTTACTGCCCCCCCTGCCACCCCAGGTGTGAACACACATACTTTCTTTTAAGCACAGTGAACCATGGCAGTCCAGAAACCATGGGCAGGGGATGGGGATGAGGCTGAACTAGATCAGAGCTCTTCGAAGTGAGGGACGGGCACTCCTGGGGAACCCCCATGACTTTCCAAGGTCTGTATGACCACAGGGAGCTGTAAAGAAATGAATTTCCAGACCCACTACTTCCTTGGGTGCCCCTTTGTGTAAGTGATATACCTGAAATGTGCCTGAGGCAAAGCAGATTTCTAGCAAGTTCTCTTTTCCCCCCGCTTCCTCTTTCATAATGATGCTTCTCCCATTTTACGAAAGAAAGGTGGACCTCTCCCCCATCCAGAATCCTACCATGCGCCTTGCCTGTCCAAGGTGCCAAATACAGGGCCAAGTGGAAAAACTGATATTAGAGATACCTTCTTTAGTCAAAGCAGTGATATCCACACTACCCACCTCTACACTGATATCATTTCCAATGTAGTTTAGTTTTACGCTAATAAGTGCTTATCAAAAGTGAATGCGGGGTGCTTCCGTGGTGGCACAATGGTTAAGAATCCGCCTTCCAATGCAGGAGACACGGGTTCGATCCCTGGTCCAGGAAGATCCCACATGCCACGGAGCAACTAAGCCCGTGCGCCACAACTACTGAGCCCGTGTGCCACACCTACTGAAGCCCACGCACCTAGAGCCCGTGCTCCGCAACAAGAGAAGCCACCGTAATGAGAAGCCCTTGCACCACAATGAAGAGTAGCCCCTGCTCGCCGCAACTACAGAAAGCCCGCACGCAGCAACGAAGACCCAACGCAGCCAAAAAAAAAAAGATAAAGAAAAGTGAATGGTATATTTTGGTTAATTGTGTACTAATAATATTTAAAATAATATAATGAATAATTTTAACAATATAGTTATTTATTTTAGAAAATGAAATCTCACTGTATATGCTTATTTTTGGTGCTGAGGAGTAAGGAGAGCAAAAAAGTTGGGAAAATATATTGTAAAATATCTAACTAAGATGTTCAATTAAAAAATATTATTTGAAAATGTTGGCAGTCAGGGCTAACAGTTTGCCAAGGGTACAGCTAACCCTTGAACAACAGCAGGGTCAGGGGCGCCAACACTGCGCTCAGTGGAAAATCCGCTGTAATTTTCAGCAGGCCCTGGGTACCGCAGTCCTTCCGTATCCGTGGTTCTGCATCACAGATTCAACCAACCACGGATCCTGTAACACCATAGCATTTACGGTCAAAAAAAAGCCTTGTATAAGTGGACCTCGCAGTTCAAACTCCTGTTGTTCCAGGGTCAACATAGTTCCTGTCCCAAATTTTTATCCAAAGGCATATAAGCAGGAGGCCCAGTAAGGAGACTTCAGTGATACAGCGATCACTGACTATATCACTGGGCTCGTGTGTCATGACCTTAGAGTCTCCCCACCCCCAACCTTACAGCCCTAATATTTTCCTCTTCTGGGATCATTTTCGGTTTCAATTCCTTTACTTGACAAAATACTTTCTGTCACTCTCCTTCAGCCTCTGGAAAAGAAACAACTTAGAATATGATCACCTACTATAGGCATTGACTTTTTTTGCTCCTTCTCATGTGGTCTATATATAGTCCTCTGCTTCTAAAAATGACCTGCCAGGCACCACTAGATTTGCAGCAGGATAAAACACTGGAAGATATGTGTGTATACATACTCTGCCTCCAGATAGAAATTGTGTACAAATACTATCGTTGAAATGAACTGAGATCAAAGAGCCTCTTATTTCCTATTTCTGATTCCGGCACTGAATAGCTTTTTTTAGAAAAAGTGTAACATTCCCTGACATATAGCAAGTTAATAAATAATCATAAATAAATATGAAATTGATTATAGTTAGTTAGTAACATTACCATTAAATAGGAGTAAACACTATGAGCAAAACCTATGAGCAAAACATACTATGAGCAAAAACATGAGCAAAACATACTATGAGCAAAAGTATGTTCTCTCAACTTTCCTATGGAATTTTTCCATCCAATCCATAAAATAGGATAGCAGCCAACAACACATAAGCAATGCTCGGCCTCAACAGTCTCATGAAGTAATCTGTAATCCCTGGGTAAATAAATCAAAGCGCTAATACTGAGTTAAAGACAGAAGTTGGCTTCTTGCCAACCCTCAGACCATAAAATTTTCTGAAAAGGGGACTTCCCAAATAGTTGACTACACCACTTCCACTGTGATATGTGACTCTTCTGATCACTCCCTGAATCCCAGCCTTTTACTTGGATGGATGGATATATAGGTAGATAGAAAGATAGATAGAAAGACAGATAGATAGATAGATAGATACAGACATATCGATCAATCCACATTTGCCTATTTGCCAAGCTCTACCAGCAAAAACTATGTACACTGGACAAATGTTTTCATTCAGGAACCATAAAAAAAATTTTCTCCAAGGAACCAAACACATATAGACACTCATGTGAATATCATTTGCTCATAAAGATAATCTTTAAATATATAGTTAATAAGGTCAATTATACAAGTACCATATAAGCATTAATTTTAAATGAATGTTCCATCATTATATCACTCCGCATTAAAATGAAATAGTGGTTGATTGCCACTGTCAAACTGTGGGAACTACTTCTATGGAAATAATATCACCCTTCATAAATATTGGTGCTCTTAAATCTGTCTGGGTTCAAACCCCAGCTCTACCACTTTCTCACTCTGTGACTTTGGGAAAGTTATTTAATTACTACTCTATGCTCCAATTTCTTCAGTTATAAAATACAGTCCCTACACCACATAAGTTTATTATGATATTTTTTAAAAAATAAACACGTACTTGGAACAACATCCAGTACATAATAAGAATTCAACAAGTGTTAGCTATGATTCATATTATTTCCCATAGTTCAAGCTGTGGACCTAAAACAGTACTCTCTGTATTATCATTAACTAACCTTCAAAAGAATAGTTACATAATGAATACAGCTAAACAGTAAACTCTAAGCAAGATAGGAAGAAAGGGCAGTTTTCTAAGTTTTAAAATGCTTTAAAAACTGTTAGGGTTCGAGACTCATTTAAAAAGCTCATTAGAGTTATGGCTATTTTCCTCAGAAAAAATCCCCTTTACACAACATTTCAGAGCTTCATTCACCGCCTTCCTGAAATCCACCCAGAGCCAGCAAACCTGAGATGGAGAACCTTCTAGGATTTAAAATTCTTCAATTATCAAACTCTATTTCAATAAACTTTAGACCACTGCTTTCTCCCATCCTTCAAAGAAGTTTATAAACATGTATTGCGTTGACAAACATTATGTCCTGTGATACGGCTGTTGACATTTACATATTAATTTCATGGATTTAAACGGAAAGCATCAAATTGTTTTTCTTAAACCCACTGGTAACCTGTAGGAAAATCCTACTTCCAGAAATTATAGCTTCAAATCAGGTTCTGGAGTTCCCACTCCAAACTAGCAAAGAACAGTGAACCCCAAAGTATGGGAACACTCTGCCTACCAGAAGTCCAGCGGCCAACCTAACCCCTCTGTCACCCTGTCATAGAGGAGATGATACTGCTGGAAAGGCTGTTCTGAGTCTGACCAAAACTTTGACAGGAGAAAACAGAGGAAGAAATACAAGGGTGTGCCATTAAAACACAATCAGAACAAACCTTCAGAACTTTGTAAACGTCTGAACTTCATTAAGTAAAACTTTACATTTTTTCATCACTTTTTAAATCTAAAATGGCTATTGCTTTGTCTTCAGTCCTTTCCTTTCTATATCCTTGTGTTCTTCCCTTTGTATCTCCTCCCTCTGCCTATCATGCCCACCACACTGCTCTTTAATAAAAATGAGAGTTTAATGTATATTGTACCCTGATGCTTTCCATAGAACGTCCACCTCTGCACAGCAGGGTGCTGTAACCACCTAGATCTGACCTGTTTATTCAATCAAGTCAAAGAAGCCTCTAGAAGCCCACTGACAAGATAAGAATGCCTATCAGTTACAAGGAGATACCATTACCAGTGTCATAACATTAGACTGTAGCTTTTAAAAACATAATGGAGATAGCTAGTGACAACCATTTCACTTCCAGTTTCTAAACTTCTGACTCACCCTGTTTAAGAATCTGTTATAAGCAACACTGAAGAATTAATCGTGCCTTACATATACTTCGAAGATAACAAAGTTTTAAATGCATAGAAATTCAAGTTAAATTCAATATCTTATAAGCTAAGTTCAAATACATTGTATACGCTTGCAAGAGTCTCAATAACACCTGATAAAATTAACTGGATTTTCATTTAAAGCCACTTTGAATAAGGATTTCACGGCAGTACAAGTCTCCTGCATTTCTTCCAAGTTTCTAGCACTGATTTTCTGGAAATAACATAAACGGAGGCCTGATTGTCAAACGGTAACCATTCCTGTAGATTCCTCTCCCAAGGAAGGTTAAGCGTCCTGATCAAAGCAGAGGAGGGTAATTTGACTGACAAAGATAGAGTCAGACGTGCGGGGCTCACACTCAAGTTGGCACCAGCCGGCGGGGAGTTTGGGAGGGGGCAGGGAAGAAGCGGGAGCTGCGGTACCTTTCTTGAACTTTCTGAGCTCGATGAGGTGCAGAACTCAGCGCTCTGTGCCGCCGGACCTCGCTTTCTCCGAACCCCGCAGCTGGGCTGGGCTGGCCAGGCGCGCGTCCCTCGCCCTCCGCCTGCCGGCGCGGAGTCGGCGGAGCCGAGCGGGGACCCGCTAGTGGACGAGCAATCTGTGCTCGGCTGGAAGCGGAGGATGGCGAGGAGAGCCCGCGACGGCAATAAAGGGTCAGAAGGTGAAATACCTCCGCGCGGAGCGCCACCGAAAACCGAAGTCGCGGTCAAGCGTTCCCCAGAAGAGGGCGGGGCGGCCCGGCCGGTAGCCCGTTGTGGGGAGACGCGTGCGTCCGGCCAGAGCTGGGAGGAGTCCGAGGCGAAGGCTTTCGGGGAGAGTTCCCTCGCCCTTTCAGCCACCAGCACCTCCCTTCCCAAAGCGGAGAAGCCAAGCTCTGTACCTCCATCGAGTCCGGGCTACAGAGTCGGGGGCGGCGGGCAGCGCGGCGGGGCGGGCGCGGTCGTCCGGCTCCCTTCCCGGGCGTCGGGCCTCTGCGGCCGAGAATGAATCATCTGGGGTTCCCCCGGACGCCTGGAACCCAGGGAGTCCCAACTCCCAACGAAAAGAAAAGTGAAAGAGAAAAGAGGAGAGACGAATATAAACACCCCCAGCGGAGGCTGAGGGAGGGGAGGGTGGCGGCAGCCCTTGGCCGACTGCCCCAGGTGGCCTGGCTCCCCGCCCCCAGGGAAGTGGCCGCTGCTGCCGAGCCCGGGATCTCAGAACCTGCAGGGCCAGAGGGAGGAGGTCTAGGAGCGCCGGCCCCGCCTCGCAGGGACGCTGGCCCGGGACTTGGCCTATCCCTCCTCCGGCACCTGCAGGGAAGGCGCGAGGAGGTGGCCCGGAGTCCACCTGCCGCATCCACGGGCGCCGGGCATGGCACGCCAGGCTGCCCGGGCTGAGACTGAGACCTGGGAGCAGCGCGTTACCAAGTTGGCCAGAGGAAAGGGAAAAATGCGTTGGATCGGACGGATTGGGCGGCTACTCCAGACCTTGACCCTCTCCACGGCCTAGAAGAAGGAAGGCCCTTAAGTCCTGCTAGAGAAAACGTGGGAAGAAGACACCTGGGCGACTACTTTGTCCAAGGTAGTTGGCACGGAGGGTGAATGAACATGAACGAATGTGCCTATCTGTGGACCACTTTCCCAGCCTAGGGCGTCGTCCAGTGTAAAACATTACAATGGGACCACGTGAAATGTTGTTATTGTAGGATTTTACAGTTAAAAGAAGGAACTGAGTTCTTTGAGGCTAAGTGATCCTTGTGCCTCAGAGCCTGCAGAAATGGTTTCAGTTTTTGGAAGCACTTTGGAGAACCTTGCACACGTGTGAATCACTGAAATTCCCTAACGGAAGGCTGCTTGCCCAAATTTTTCAGAGTCATGTCACGGAAATAATAAGGCTCCCTGGAGCTTGGTAAAACATTTAACTAACTTTTTCTTTGTATTACGTACATGTTAAAATAAAATTTAAAAATATTTGAAGAGATTTAAATATTAAATATACATAAAGTTCCACATAAAATCATTTTTATGAAAAAGTTGAGCTCTAGATAGTCAAGATCAATAAAATGAGATGAAAATGTAAAAACTTTTTTACAGCCATTCAAATCTTCACCATAGTTGGAAATTATATTTAAAGAAATGAAGCAATCATTCCTTTCTGTGCAAGACAATGTAATGTTGAATTTTCTTGTGATAATGCCAATGATTTCAAATTCAATCAGACTTTTTCATAGCAATACACTGAAGCTCTGATTTGCAGAATGAGGATGCATCCTGAGTGAGATTGGGCTTGCAGCTGGAATGGATTCTGTTGCAACAGATGTAGCAGCCCCAAAGGTAAACTATGTGTATATGTGAATATCGAAATTAATGATGGAGAACTGGATCTGTGTCTGCACGTCCACCTGAACTGGTCCAGTCCTTCTTGGCTCCCACAAGATGAGCTCCCATACCTCCTTCAGCCCCATTACAGATGCTGCGTGTTCTGCAGCTGGTGGCTGAAGTAGTTGTCCAGATAGTAAGGCCCACCCGTCATTGGCCTCACTTAGCACCAACTAGCAGAGGCAAATATCACTGCCGCCAGAGGTCACATCATTACCTCCCAGATCCTGCTGCACTTGGGCTGCCTAAGAGCACTAGAAAAAGCTGTTCTTAGCTGGGGCTCACTAGCCTGGGGGCTCCAGCTGTCCCTGGGGCTGAGAAACATCAGTGTCTGACAGCACACTTTTAACACGTGGCCACCATGAATTTTCTGAGCTATTGGAGAAGTTTTCACAACTCTATGAAACTGATGGGAATTTTCTTCATAGAGCCGAGCTTTAAAGTACAATCTGAAGACATAAGAAGAATAAAATTGGTTTACAGATATTGATCAAGCTTCTAATATATGTAAGTTCTGGAACAAGATGGGCTGAATGATATATAAAGCATTTAGTCAGATTGGGGAGATAAAATAACATAAATGACAAGAAAGTGAAATTGAAACTGCTGATGGCCATAAGAGAGACTTTGCTCAACTACTTGCCTCCCAAGTATGTAAGTCAAATTTGTTTTCGCAATTACCCCCCAAAAAAGTATTTTTGAATTAGTTATACAAATGCCTGCAATTTATTGAGGTTGGGTATTCAGCATAATATTACTGTTGCACTGCCTCAAACAGAGAAATCTAATGTATGCCACTTGTATTTTCAGTTGCCACAGGCTGTTTGACAAGATATTGAAAATTGCTCACACCAATGAACAAGTAAATTCCACTGTATAAATTAAAAACAAAGACCAAGATTGATGAAATAATTTGAAACTGCCTAAGGGTAACTAATAAAATTACCATGTGGAAAGAAGTAAAAATTAACTAAACCTCACAGAAGTGACCATAATAATTTTTCTTTGAATTAAAAAAATGAACAATAAAATCATAGTTGAATAAATTTTTAATATCTGATTTTTCATTCCAAAGACAATGTTAGCCAATTGGCTAGTTGTCTTTAAAATAAATGTTTTCTTTGGAAACTATGTGGAAGTAGTTGAAAGTTAGCTCATCTGACTTAGTGTTCAAAGTCCATGACTGTGACCTTATTTATAGTTCTCCTAAGGAACAAATCACAGGCCAAGAACAAGCTGATCTTCTGGTCTTTGCAAAACATAGCCTGGGACCCCTGAATTTGCCATTTTGGTTAAAGCCTTACCTCAGTGTTGCTCCTCCCCTCTGTCTTTTTGGTGGTCCTAACAATAGAGGAATACTCTTCCTCTTACAGATTACTTGAGTTTTCAAGAGCTTCTTAAGTTACTGCTTTCTCAGAGGTGCAGCAATACTAGCTACTACTTCTGTAGTTCCTACAGGGTGTGCCCAGGTGCCCACTAAGACAAATATTAGCTCACTAAATCCTCACAACAATGCTATGATATATGAACAACTATTATCTCCATATTACTGATGGAGAAACTAAGACCCAGAGAAATTTCCCAACTTGCCTGCAATTCACATGCAATTAAGTGGCCCCACCGCAAGGCTCTGACCTCAGGCAGTCTAGCTTGAGTCCTCACCCCTGTACTCTGCTACCTCTAAATTGACAACCACCCTCCACAGCTTCTAAAACAAAGAATTCCTGAGAAAAGAAGCCTTTGACTCTTAGGCTCCCTTCACCTAAATGTTGGGACAAATACCATATTCATTAACTGGAAGATACAAAGTTGTTAACGTGTCAATTCTCCAGATTCCAGGCAATCCCAGCAGGCTTTCTTATACAACTTGATGAGCAGATTCGAACACTGATATGCAAATACAGAGGACCTAGAAGAGGCAAAACACTTTTGAAAAAGTGCAGTGTTGGAGGATCTATACTACCAGATATCAACACTTAATATAGACTTATGAAGACCAAAGCAGTGTAGTAATGGCGTAAAGATAGACAAATCAAAGGAACAGAATAAAGAGTACAGAAAACGTTTACACATGCATGGCCAATTCGTTTTGACAATTATGCCAAGGTAAGAGAGTGAAAGGATAATCTTTTCGACCAGTGATATAGGAACAACTAAGCTTTTTAGTGGGAAAAAATATTTTTATTTCCCTAACAAACATCATTCATAAAAGTTAACACAAATGGTTCATAGATCAAAGTGTAAAAGTTAAAAATATAAACCTTCCAGAGGAAAGCATAGGAGAAAATGCTTTGCAATATTGAGGTAGGTAAAGATTTCTTAGCACACAAAAAGTACTAACTATGAAAGAAAAAAAGTGAAATAATTGGATTTCACCAAATTATAAACTGTTTTTCTCTCTTTAAGGTCCAAAATGACTACCAATATACTAAAAGTTCTAGAGAATCCTGCAATAAAATACCCTGTTTAATATTGTTTGGCTTATTTCTCAAATTTATTGGTCAAAGAACCATTTTGCAGTAGAATACCAGTTAATCTTTAACAGAACTTGTATTCCAGAAAACGCACTTGCAAAGTGCTATTGAAGACACATTACTTTCTTCTGGAATAAACTCCATTAATTGAGGGACAGGAGCCATAACAGCCAAATAATTATTTTTGCCATGGAATATGCTCTGTGTTTGATTCACTAACATTTTAGTACGATGCTTTTAATGTTTGGGAGTTATAAACATTGCTCTATGGCAATAAACATTATTTTTAAATGATGTTTTATGAAATAATTGTACAACTTAATTAAATATTCACCTACTAAGAGTCATTTACAACTTGACTTATTTTTTATTAAAATTTAACAGTCCTCATATAAAATATTACTGGAGAATCTGAAATGTAAACTTAAGTCTCACTCACTCTGGTTAAAAGAGTCTAAAAAACGTTATTGTCAGGAGTGGCTTTAGTCATACAAAATCTTACAAAGGGAATTTCCTGGTAGTCCACTGGTGAGGACTCCACACTTTCACCACGGGGGGCCTGGGTTCAATCCCTGGTCTGGGAACTAAGATCCCACAAGCCGTGTGTGGCCAAAAAAACAAAACAAAACAAAAAAAACTTGGGCAGAGAGAAACTAGATGATTCAAACCTTGTGATATATGCAATAACGGCAGAGCTCAAAACAGATACCTGAAGGGGATTAGAATTTGCCACCCCAAAATATGCCTCTTTGGCATAAAGATTATCTTGAAAAGGTTATTTATAAGAAACAGCACACACAGGAAAAGCTCTGAAAACCAAGTAGCTATCCCTTTATAAGAGAAATACACATTTATAAGGGAAATCTCAATTTTAAGGGTGTCTTTTCTCTGTACCAGGAAGCGGAGGAGGACCAATTCTCTAGAAACTCTTAACAGTGGAGAAGGCAGGGACTTAAATCTGTGTAACCATCATACCCTTGTTAAATCTGTATAACCATCACACCCTTGTTTATTGTGATTTTCCTGGTGACTGCCCATAACTGGCCTTCCCCCCTACAACACCTGCCTCATCATTCTTTTGTCTTTAGCTGGAAATGATATTTAAGGTGGTGGCTGGGCAATTTCAG